GTTGTCCTTCGGGATTCTTTCTTGAAGTAATTTATGCTTCACTCAAAAGCATTTATTTTAGGTTTCAGAACCGGGGTTCTGAGTAAGGTCTTCTCACATGATGCACAGCTCTTTAAAGAAGGTTTCGATGAACATCTGCATATTGAGGAACAGTCCTTCTCGTTAGCAATTGTCCAAGTATTTTGATTAATTGAAGAATCATAAAATGTTTTCTGATTACCTAATTAATATAGAGGTATTTCATTTTAACATCAAAACAACTAAGAAAATAAAACCTGGGTTATACATAATGCCAATTATTTTTATAAACAGGTTAAAAGAAATATATTCTAGATATTAAATAAATTGAAGAGACTTTTTAAAATAATATATTAAAGAAGTCATATGCTATCGGTTGCTAGTATCTGCTTCAAAAAATAGCAATATCATAAACAATCATATTCAAGCAAGCATTGTCCTGTACCTCCTCTGGAGATGGCATTGTAGGAGAATCTTTGAATGAGGTTTTAAAAAAGCGAGGTTGGGGGGCATCACCCCAAAGCCAAATCCTCTGATTAGGAAGAATATGCGCCAGTAGCGTACGTAAACCGACTAAGCCACTGCCGTAGAACAGGAGGTAATGAGAAGTGGTCTAGGTTATGTTTCTGATTCAGACCCTCAACAGCTGTGTGATGGTGGCTGGGCCACAGTTTCCTCATCTGTCAAGTAAGGAGCTGAGCTGCAATATTCTGAAGCTCACTTTAAACTCTGTAAAGTTACGTTAATCTAACTCTGAAATATGCACAAGTACTAACCCGTAGGATAGAAAGCTGACGCTAAGGGCTGAGAAAACGGGAAGAGAAACCAGCACAGACCCCTGAGTATGAGTTTCAAGTTACTTTTCAAAGAAAAGGAAGAGCATATATTAACCAAGAGAAGGATCCAAGAAAATAAAGGGCTCTGACTTACCGGTCTAAATATGACCCAATAAAGGGGAAAGGGGAACCCTAGTGATTTTGATAAATCCAAATTCTTATGGAATTCTTTCAAAACCTTCCTCACAATTAAAAAAAAAAGTGTTGGAAGTTTTCTCTAATTCTGCTGCATGTTGTTTTGGTAATTAGTCCCTTAAGCTATTACTGAAAACAGTGTTTAAAAATACAAATTCTCTCTCTGAAATTGTATAATGAATTAAGTGAACTGCTGTTATTTCAATGTTCAATTCAATTTATGTAATTAAGAAGTAACTCCAGCACAGCAGCTGGATTGATGTGTCAACCTTATTCATCTATGTGGAAGAGAAATTCATGAGTCTTGCTCTCCCTCGTATCTGTGCCTTTAAGTTAGGACTGTGTCTTGTTGGAATATTGAGAAACTTGACCAGTTTTTCATGCATTGGCTCAGACATGCAGCCCGTAGGCACACATGCGCACAGGCACGCATGTGGCTGCCCTGTAGAGCTGTGGCTCAGTAAACTAGAGTCCGTCACGATACCTTCCGTTTTGCTGAACATGCGGTGTTTTACACATACTAACGCAGCTAACATTTACTGAGCACATACCATTACAGAGCTTGTGCTGGGGTGCCTACGGAGACATTAGTTTGTGTTATTTCTCCTAGAATGAATCTCCTGACAGTCTCTGTGTTACTGAGCATGGCGTCTCATTAAGTTTCTCAGAATTTCTCCAAAGTTCAATTTACGTCTTTGGCAGTTATTTATTATCAGAAAAATGATTGAAATGCCGCACATATGACAAAACCCGTTGAACCCACTGCTGTCGAGTCAACTCTGACTCACATTGACCCTGTAGGACAGAGTAGAACTGCCCCATAGGGTTTCCAAGGAGCGGCTGGTGGATTCAAACTGCTGGTCTTTTGGTTAGCAGCTGAGCTGTTAACCACTGCACCACCAGGGCTGTATACATATGACAGTGTCTCATAAAACTAGCCCCAAGTAATGAGGGGATTGCCACATGGGTATTATATCAGTGGCACAGTACTGGTATGGCATCTGTAGACAGGTTTGAAAGTCTGAGATTGAAGCAGTGAATGAAAACATTCATTCATTGAGAGAGATGCTCTGTAAAGTTAAGGCTCATCTGCGAGATGCCAACCAATCCTTCCCGCGCGCGCACACACGCACATGCACGTACACACACACACTCCTATACATTCAAAGGTGGAAAACTTGCGAGACCCAGAAAAACAAGGCAGTCCTGTCGAGTTCTGGCTCTCAAAGATTTCACTGCATAAGGGTACACATGGAAGGATTTTGATCATCACTCTCTAAAATTCAAGAAAAATAAGTTCCTCTTGAAAGGGAAATTGTTTCCATTAAACAGCACCATTGGAGAGGATTTTCAGAAGGAATTATTTTCCCAGTGTTATACTTACAATCTCTCTGATGTTAAAAAAAAAAAAAAAAAAAATCTAATTTCTCATTTATGGTTTGTTTGCCTTCACCTTGTCTTCACAGTCACCTCTCTTGGGCACCTCTGAACTAGCCTTCCTTGCCTTTTCCATTTTTCTGTTCTCATGAGGAGAATACAGCCCCAGAAAACACTCTCCTCTGAATGGACTGTTGCTTTGGCGTACATCAGGGATTTCAGCTGCTAGAGGATATGAAAAATGAAGCGGGAGGCATCAGATGGCCGCCAGACTAGAACTGTTAACACAGTAAATGCCAGGAAGGCTGAAGTGTGAGCTGAAGCAGCTGGGGGTGGAAAACAGGAGCAGCAGGGCTGGGAGAACTGGAATAAAAAAATAATAACAGAGGCCAGAAAACGAGAGGGAGCTGGGCGAGGGGAGAAGTGCAGCCACAGGAAAGCAAGGAGTCTAGGTAGAAGGAGAAGGAGGGGTTGTAAGTATGTGTTTCCAAAATTGCAGTGTTCATCGTAGCCCATACACATTGTCTTTATTGTTGGTGTTGTTAGCTGCATTGAGTTGGCTGCCAACTCATAACAGCCCCGTGCACAGCAGAACAAAATGCTGCTCAGTCCTGCGCAGTCCCTGTGATAGGTTGTGGATCAGACTGTTGTGGTCCGTAGGGTTATCACTGGCTGGTTTTTGGAAAGAGATTGCCAGGCCGGTAATCATTAACGGTTATTGATCAATAATCATTTGTAGTGAATAACTGCTGTCTACACTTAGAAATAGTCACAGGGATGCAGGAGCACGTGAAGGAGCATCTGGTCCATACTCTCAGTTCTGGGTAAAATTCTGCTCTGGTTGTCTCAGAACATGATGGTTGGACTGGATCCACACCATCCTGCTCCAATGCAACTCTGGTAATTCCAGCCACCATTACACTTGGGTTTCCCATATCTGTTGAAGACTGATCTGGAAAATGAATGGCCTTGTCATGTTCTTCACGTTATAGCAGCCTCCACTGGCAGATAGGTAGTGGCTATGCATAAGGTGCACTGGCGGAGAATCGAACCCAGGTCTCCCGCATGGAAGGTGAGAATTCTACCACTGGGCCACCAATGCCCCCATTCATTGTCTTTAGTGCCTCTTTAATGAAACATACGTACTATCACTTTCTTGCATGATTAATGTGATAGACTGAATGTTGAAATGGTGATTGAAAGAAATTTCTATGCTTTGAGGTTGATCCCTATTGATAATTTATTGAACTCATGAATTCAGATGGATTAAGAAGAAATAACGTGCTAGTTTATGGATATGTTTTTTTTTTAGTAAAAATATATCAAGTTGCTAACATTCATCATTTGGACAATTAGTGGATGTGTATAATTAGCTGGAATAGTAACTGGTTTGGTAGATATATCCAGAGGGAAGTGATTAATCAATTACTCTCCTCCTGGAGGCCCATTTCTGGTATTTTAACTTAATCCTCTCCTAGTCAACATCAGGCCAGACTTGCCTGGTCCAAAGCTGGGGAGAGATGGCTAATGTAATAAATGGCAGAGACAGAATTCAGGAACATCTTGACAGTTGGGGCAATGACCCAAGTCTAAGAAGCAGAAATTGCACAGGGATCAATGTAAGCACACCCTTCCCTCCAAGTTAAATTGCCCGACAATAAGGAAGAGATGTGGCTTAGCAGCATCATATTTGAAAGAGATTTAGATTTAATTTTTGTCAAGTACAAGGTCCATATACGTAAATGGTATAATATAGCTGATAAAAGCTTCTGTTATTGTAGGCTGTCTGAATAAAAGTGTGGTGTCTCAACTAGCAGAGGAGTCCTGTTCTACGCTGTACTGATCAAGTACTATCTGGAGAATTGCCTCTGAGGTCCATCATTTAGAGAATAGCCAGTAAATGAAGGTGCCAGCTCCCAACTTGTCCCCTTCTGCCTTCCTTGTTTCTTCACCACTTGGTCCTTCTGCATGCATCATTTTTCCTCTCCAAATCTGAATTTGTTCTCTCTAAAGCAAGAATACTTATTATGTTTAAAGCTACCCCATAACCCAGTAGAGCTTATCACTAATCATAGTTTCTGTCTGATGGCCCACGGTAGATTTGGCTAAATGCCAACTGAAGTTCTTTGTTGAATTTTAATTTCCTGTGCTGAGAATTGTATTGCCCCAGTGCTGACCACCACTGGTGGATGACAGCCGTTGCATCCCCAGTGACCTTTATTGTCCTTCAGATGCAGGATCTCATATCTCAGGAATGATGACCAGGCACCAGGCACCCATGATGCTCACCCCTTGACCTTTCAAGTTTCCACTCTTTCTTTTCCTGTGTATCCAAGTGTTTGGTACGGGGTATCTGCTTTGAATACCATAGTCCGTCTTGGTCTTACCAAGCAGTCTTCTTGAGAATTGTGGCTCTTACCCCGAGTCCCTGCCCAGTGGCCAGATTTTGTTGCTGTGATTAGACCTTCAGGAGGGTAATGGACCACCTTCCTGACTCCTGGTACCACCAGCCTCTTGCTCCTGATAGCTTTGCCTTCATGCCATAATAGGGCCCCAAGAGTTCCCCTCCAAAACCAAGATAAGAACTGTCTCCTAAATCGAATGGAGTTTACCATTCTCTTGGATGTTGTGCTTGCCTTGCTAGCCTGCTCTCCTAGATTGGGTTTGTAACTGGAGCAGGCTCTCAGTCTGCTCTGTCCTTGTGAGCAGACCTGTCCAGGGCCCAGCTCCCTTTTCCTGATAGGCTTTCTGCCCCTTTGATGGCAGATGGTTCTCAAAACTATATTCTTTGAAATGGAGAAGAGGAGGCTCAAGATCAAGGGAAGACGGACTTGTTTAAATAGGTGTCTTCAAGTGTTTGAAGGGTTGCCATGTGGAGGACACTGTTGGACTTGTTCTGCTAGCTCTTACAGGTTAGAATCAGGACTCAAACTAGGTAGAAGCTACTGAGCCAGTGGGGTGGAAAACCTTCCTTACTCCTGGCTGACATCTAACAGTGCTTGCCAGAGACACAAAGGGATTCCTTAGGATGGAGAAAGCCCTTCATTACAGAAGGAAGTCTAGCATAGGCTGGATTAGCAGATCTAAGTTTTGTTTATTGGTTTGCTTCTATTACAACCTGAATAAAGGATGGTATTTACTTTGATGACATTTGCATGTGTGCAATATTGCTATGACATGAGTATGCCAATCATAACCTGCCTATAATCCTACTCCTTTCTCTTTCTTCAGGGACTGTGGGTAGAGCAGCTTTATTATAGCAATATCCTAATGTCTACTCTGATTTTATTTAAATTAATTCACTTGGTCAGTGAATATGTATTGAGTGGCTGTTATTAAGCACTATGACTCCTTCAGTGCTCAGTACTTTTAACTGTTAGGTTTAATCAAGTCCTTTTGACATTGTACTGGATGTTAGGAACATTGTAGAAAGTGTTCAGACATCAAGAGGGATTGATTTCTAGGTGATCTTTAGGTTTCTTTTAAATTTGAGATTTGGTGATTGAGCTTCTTGATTCTAGTCTCATATTTAGTATATATCTTGCCTCCAAATACAGTTTTTATAAGTAAAACATAGATTTGGAGTGGGGTTGTTCAAATCTGTGCTATTAAATTCCTGTACTTACCTTCCCAGATAGCAGAGAGGTGCCCTCTCAACATCATCACTGCTTCCCCCAGAGGGACTGTAGGGGCATGACTTGAGGAAAGCACTCTTCCCCTAAACCTCTCCTCAGTGATGGATGCCAGCGGGGCTTGGACCAAGCCATCTGTCAGCTGCATATCCATCCCTCAGGGTCCCGGTGGCCTAGAAAGTGAGCTCTATTTCAGCTCCTCTAAATGGTTTTAGCCAGAAAGCCTTCCAGGTTAGTTTTGTAAAATGTACCATGAAGTCCTAGAGTTCACTTGTTTGGACCTTGATGTGAACATTGCCATCGGTGCTGGGAACCTGCTAACAGTCCTTATAAAAATTGTCCGTCAATGACATCAGTGTAGAAGAAACAGCACTGAGCTTGGTATCCTACTGACTTAGTACACGTGGGGGTGGTGGTTGTTAGCTGTCGTCAAATCAGCCCCTGGCTCATGGCAACCCCCTGCACAATGAGATCAGACCATTGTGATCCATAGGGTTTTCACTGGCTGATTTTCAGAAGGAGATCATCAGGCCTTTCTTTCTAGTCAGTCTTAGTCTGGAAACTGCTGAAATCTGTTCAGCATCATAGCAACACGTGAGCCCCCACTGACGGGCAGGTGATGGCTAATCAAACCCGGGTCTCTCTCACGGAAGGGGAGAATGCTACCACTGAGCGACCACTGAGTAGATAGCTGCTTTCAGAAGTCCTAAAATTCCATCCAGTAACTAAAGAAATCAGCACTGAAAGCATAGGATTTCTGGTAGATTGGATCAATAATCATTTGTAGTGAAATAACTGCTGTCCACACTTAGGAGCCCTGGTGGTGCAGTGGTTAAAGCATTCAACTGCTAACTAAAAGGTCAGCTATTGGCAACCACTCTGTTCTGTGGGAGAAAGATGTGGCAGTCTGCTTCTGTAAAGATTTACAGCCTTGGAAACCCTATGGAGTAGTTCTATTCTGTCCTGCAGGGTTGCTATGAGTCAGAATCGACTTGGCAGCAGTGGGTTTGGTTTTTTGATTTTGACACTTCGAGATAGTCATGAGGATGAAAGAGCATGTGAAGGAGCATCTGGCCCATACTCTCAGTTCTGGGTAGCATTCTGCTCTGGTTGTCTCAGTCAGAACATAATAGTTTGCACTGGAGCCAGGCCATCCTGCTTCAGTCTAACATCTCTGGCCATTCCAGCTACAATTACACTTGGGTTTCCCGTGTATCTGTTTAGGAATGGCATTGTAATGTCTGCATTTCCTGGGATACTTTTTGGTAACAGCTTTATTGAAATACAATTCACATACCATACAATTCATCCATTCTAAATGCACATTCAGTAGTTTTTAGTATATTAACAGAGTTCTGCAACCATCATCACAATCAATTTTAGAACATTTTCATTACATCAGAAAGAAACCCTACGCCACTCAGCTTTCACTCCCAATTCCCTAACCCCACCTGATCCCTAAGCAACCACTAATCTACTTTCTGTCTCTATATGGTTGCCCATTCTGGACATTTCATACAAGTGGAATCATATAATACATGGGGTTTTGTGATTGGCTTCTTTCACTTAGCATGATGTTTTCAAGGTTCATCCATATTTTTAAGTTGTGTTCAATTTTCAAATCAGGCTCTTAACTCATATCTGGTAATAGAGAGAGGATATCTAGACATATTATTTCTAACACACATAAGTCATATTTGGCATTTTAAGAAAAATGTTTGTTTTCTTTTTAATGCACTAATTTAATTTAGATCATCAAATCTTACACATATTTCCAGCTAATTAAGGAGAGTTATCAGGGAGTGACCATGACAACATTGGAAAGTGGAAAGGTTTGCAGTTTGAATCCACATCTAAATATATGTGTATTGCCAGCGTTCAGAAGAAGACTTGATTTGAAATCTAATGAAAGAGTAAAAAGATGACCTGGGAAAGGCTCTTGTCTGTCATACCCTTCACCCACTGAAGCCCTGTCCTCTTAGTTTGCATGATTGACAGTTGAGTAATCTCGAGTAGGGTTGGAGGAAGACAGCCCATGATTGTGTGTCTTGTTCTGATCTTTTTAGACTTATTAAAAAATGAAAATAATCATGTACCTGAATGTGGCAGCCAACAAAAGGCAGCTGTTTCTCACTTGATAACTGTCAAGGGAACAATAGATATACCTCAAGATAATATAAATAATCTGCTGACTCTGCTCTGGGAGAAAGCCACATTCAGTCTAAGATGATAGTACATGGTTCTAATAAAAAAAAAAAAAAAAGAACACCAGTAGATCCAACTCTCAAAACAAAAAAACAAACCAAACCGTTGCTGTAGAGTCAATTCTGACTCATGGTGACTCAAGTATTTCAGAGTAGAACTACACTCCATCGGGTTTTCGATGGCTGTAGTGTTTCAGAAGTAGATCACCAGCCTTTCTTCTGAGGCATCTCTGGGTGGATTCAAGCCTCCAACCTTTTGGTTAGTAGCCAGGCAGTTAATAGTTTGCACCACCTATGGGCTCCCTGATGCAGCTCTAGAAGGCTCATATTCTACCCAGTGTTTGATATTGAAATTGAGGAATTGTACCTCAATCTGTTTCAATAATTTGGGAAGCTCCAAATCTTAATCAGCAACGAGTATATTCTCCTAAGAGTGTAGACACGTTTATTCATTCATTCATTCCGTTCCTTCTCTCCTTCCTCTCACACAGCACCTATCATGTTGTCTTACATAAAGTAGATGTTCAATACAGGAGATATGTTTTAAAGGACAGGAAGAGAACTAGAGGGGAAGGGGAGAGGGAGGAAGGACACGGCACCAAAAATAAAGCAGAGCCCAGACAGGGTTGGGGCTAAGGAGCACCGACAAATCAGGGGAGAACAAGAGAATCTATCCCTGGAGTCTCCTCCATTTCTGCCCATCTTCCCCATTTCTACATGAAACAGACGAAGGAATGACTTGGGATTAGATCTCCCTGCCATTCAGGTCACACTGTCCACATAACACCAGTTTCTTTTAATAAGAAATTTTCAGAATTGAATCACAGCTTTACCTTACCAAAGCATATTAATGCTCTTTTCAAATAAATCGCTTGTTTTAGCTCATGTTCAGATAAGTTATTTGAATTTTAATAGTAGGATCACTAGGAGTTGGAATCGGCTTAATGGCAAAGTGTTTGTTTTTTTTTTTTTTTGGCAGGGAGTAGGTTACAGTAATACATGGATTTGTAATTAAACTAATAAAAAAATGGAAAGATCAAGTAAATTGAATTGTATTTGATTAGACATTAACTTGACTGTCATTTTAGAGCAAAGTTTTAATTTATTTACTACTATGTGTAGTTTTGCCTCTTCTTTATAGTTTGCTTTGTTCGAGAAGGAATAGAAAGCTCACTGTTTAGTAAGAACTTGCTAACATTTTTACAGTAAACTAGACAAGTAACTTTCACAGTCTACTCCATCTGCCTTCTTTTCTAACTTTCTTTCTCTTTGGTTATAGGCCAAGAAAGAAGAGAGAACTCTTACTACAGTAACATTTCAAAGGGGAAGACGTTGCTCGAACTTCGAATAATTTTTTGGACATTTCTCCAAGGTAAATATTACCATTGTAATAATAAAGAGGCACATCACTAGAATTTGAAAGTTGCAGTGCTACCACACAAAGTTTAACTGTGTTCTGTCCAGCACAAACCTACAGTGATCTGAGAGTGGGAGGGAGAAGAGAGACGAACTCAGAGCTGTCGGGTAGCCGGGAGAATACCATCTGAATCTGCGAGCTCGGTGAGCTGTACTGAGCTAAAAATACACGGGGAGAAGGGAGGAGGGGGGAGCTGTACTTCTTTCTTCATGCTCATCTCTCTCAGATACTCATGAAAACAAAAACAACAGCCAGTGTGATTGATTATAAAAATAGCATTTCTTCTTTTAGGAGGAATGGTTGGGGTCATTCACTTTAGAGGTTAAATTAGAAGATGCGCTGTTCTGATGTCACAAGGGGAGAGAAACCTGACTCGTATTTCACACCAACTAAGACTTACAAATATGGAAGGTTTTAAAGAAATCCATGTACCACTTCTCTGAAAATACCTACTGAGGAAGCCTTTGGTTCGTGACAAATGCTTTGAGGAGTTCTTGTTTTGGAAGATTGTGTCTTTGATGCCTCTTTTGTAGGGAGCGGCAGTATGTGTGTGAGAGAGAGAGAGCGAGGGAGAGAGAGAGACAACCAAAGAGAAATCTGTCGGCCTCACACTGTCTGTTTCAGAGGCGTGACTCCGGGCGCTTTCTTTATGAATCGAGAGCTTAGCGGGAATAAAGGCTCAACAGAAGGAGCTGAATACATAGTCAGCTTCAGCGTTCATGAATTAGCTGCCAATATTTTAGCATGAATTGCTGTGTCATTTCTATGAAGTCCCCCTGTTACCGCTCAGTCTGTAGCTAAAAGCTGTTTGGCTAAGCCCTGAAATTGTATCTGATGAAACTCCTCCTCCTTCCTTCCTGATAAAGATGTCTGTGTACACATACATGCTGAAATACAAAAATACAGGATCCAATTTAAAAGAAAATACACTTGTCAACTTCCTACGTTTAGAAGTTAATCTACAGTGGACATGATTTAGTCCATAGTGTTCTAGAATGTGGTATCAGTTTGGCAGAAGGAGAGTGGGGTTTTCCCTCTCAGCCCTCATCCTGGTTATTCTCTTCTGAGGGGGTGGGGGTGGGGGAAATGCAGGCTGTACATTAGAGGGGGATTTGGTGATACTATTCATTCTCTGTTCTGACAGAGAAGACATTGTTCACTGTACTAGGCTTGGCGGAATCTGTGCTGTGCATACAGAATGGGAAATAGCACAGCAGTGACGAATCTCAAAATTCTAAGCAATACATCAGCCTAGAGGATTTTTTAAAAAAATATATTCTGATAGCGCCTCATTCCTGTAGATGCAAGTCGTAATTTCAAAAACTAGTTTCCCTTTAAATGATATTTTCTCTCACATTGCATTATGCATATATTGCATGAAAAAAGTCTTTAAGGTAGCAGAATACCTATTTAACGCCGTAGTAACACGAATTAAAATCCTGAAAATTTAGAAAGATATACTCTGAAAACACCAGATGTGCTTTGTTATTGGCCTCTGTTGTTTCCCGCACGTGTCTGTCTTACCTTAGTGTTCGCACATCGGTGTTAAGGAAAAATAACCTCTGCACGTCACCTGGCGATTCCCAGAAGCAAAGGTGTGCTGCCTGAGATAAGAAAAATGGAGACGCATTCAAACATGTGCCCTGAGGAAAGGGGTGCGCTGCTGGGAACAATGTGGGAAGTGTTTCCCAAACATTCAGAACTAAAAAGGCAACAACAGTAAAAATGAACGTTCAAACCGACATTCAGACCCTGTGTTGGAAGCTGAACTGGCGTAAATCGAAGCCAAGACTAACGGGTTTTTCCGCTTCCTGAAACTCAGCCTTCATCTCTCTGCTATCTCTCCCCAGGCACGGGGCTACACACTGGAACGGCCCCTGTTAATCCCAGGGCGTGGGGTCTTCATGTACGGGTATTTCTCTTGTAGTTAGCTGACATCGAGCCACCCCAACTCCTGGTAACCCCACGTACAAATGGAATCAAATGCTGCCTGATGCTGTGCCATCCCCAGGATCAGTGGCAGATCAGATCACTGTGATCCATGGGGTGTTCATTGGCTGATATTCAGATCCCTAAGCCTTTCTTCCTAGTCCGTCTTAATCTGAAACCTGTTCAGCAGCATAGCAACACACAGGCCTCCACTGGCTGCACATGACGTGCATTGACCAGGAATTGAACCTGGGTCTCCCACATGCAAGGCGAGAATTGTATCACTGAACCACCCATGCCTCGTGTTTGTCTTACTAGAGCAGAAAAAGAACTATACGATGTAAATTATGAGATTCCAAAAGTTACAATGCTGATCATATCAGTATACAGTAGATGATTGTTAATCCTTTGTAGCTTTTCAGGTAACCTAAGAATTCATCTTCTACAACCCAACAGATCTACTCTGCTATAGTGGCCTTGCTCAGATTCATTTACTGCATTGTTGTTTTTAAATTTCTCACTCTTTTAAAGTGTATTTGCTTTGCAGTCTTTTAAAATGGATTCATCTGATGCTCTTTTTCAAGGAAATAACAACTTAGAAAAATTAACCAAGGCTTTACCAGCCTATTTCCCTGATCGCCTCCATTCATTTGGCGTGTTTTGTCTATTTTTAAAGTCGTTTTTATTTTACTCTTCTTAACAACTGAGTTAAGGCTTCCCGAAGGAGGTAAGGCAAGGAGGAGCCAGCCCCGACTCTCTGCTCAGACGCTCCTTGGAGGCTCTGTCTGTGCAAGCAGGTCAGGGAGCTCCAGGAAGACGCCATCGGCGGGGCGCTTGCAGGGCTGTCTGTGACTGGCGGCCGGTCCTTCAGTCCTGCCTCCTTGTTCCTGTTCTGTTTGAATCCCTAGTAACCACTCTACATGAGGCCTGATCATTAGCATGCACTAATGACAACCCAGCTCTACAGAGCGTGTTACCACAGCCCTCCAGAAAGCGGGAGGAACTGGCAGGCAGCTGAGTCAGCCGTGTGCACCCCTAAAAGGCAGGGTGGCCCAGCTGGCCTCATGGGTAGCCTTAGAACTGGTCGGGATAGGCTTTTGTAAAATGAAGAGTGGGGAGGGACCTTGTTTTCACCAGGGTTATATGTTCTTTGTCTATTATGAAAAGAAATCTATACCAATAGTAGAAAATTGGTGTTAGTGCTTAATGACAAATTTTTATTGAACAAATAGTTATATTTTACTTACTGTGAAGCAAGCACTGTTTTAAGCACTTCGGAAATATTAACCCATTTAATCCACCTAACTATCCTACAAGGTACAATTACTGTTATTGTCCCGTTTCACAGAAGAGGTAACTGAAGCTCAGAGAGATTAAGTGTTGTGGATTGAAGTGTGTCCCCCAAAAGTATGTGTAGCAGTCTCAACCTCTATACCTGTGGATGCAGTCCCATTTGGAGTAGGGTTTTCTTTGTTATGTTGAGGAGGTCATACCAGTGTAGCGTGTGTCTTAAACCGAATCACCTTTGAGATATTAAAAAGTAAAAAGGGAAGATTAGGCTCAGAGACAAAGAAGCAAAAATGGAGGAAAGACAGTGCCCCATGGAGATCTCCAAGGAACACCAAGAAGCAGAGGCAAGGATTTTCCCCCAGAGCAGACAGCCTTCCTGTAAAGCCAGCACCCTGCATTTAGACTTCCAGCTTCCTAAACTGTGAGAAAATAAATTTTTGGTCATGAAAGCTCCCTGCTTGTGGTATTTCTAGTATAGCAGCACCAGGAAACTAAGATAGTAAGTAACTTACCCAGGGTCCCCTAGCTGATGAGGGTAGAGACAGTGTTAGTGTCCAGGCCATCTGCTCCAGAGTCCAGTAGTCAGGGCTCTGTGCAGCCAGCCAGAGCAGGCTTCACTATCAGATCCATTTGGGGTCTATAAACATGCAAGCCTTCCCCACAGAGATACACACACTATGTTATGTTGTTATTTTTGGAACTATATGCCCTTTGTCATTTACTAGAATGGCATTTACTACAATCTGAAGTAGGTACTGAATGGTTGCTGTGTGGCAAACAAAGGACCGCAGGCCCTTCTCTCCATGGCCGACAGGGTGCTCCCTGGCATCATGCTTGCATAGGATCACCCCCGAGCACCACTGGGAAGAGCCAAGTGTGGTTGCTGTGCCTCTTTCTCAACGCCTTTTTGACTTGGATTGGTCCTTCCCTTTAGATGTATGAGGGCCCTGAGGCCCGCCGTGTAGTCAGAGCTGCCAATGCTGAAAGCAGCCACTATCCGGGCTGAAGTGACTGTGTAATGGTGTAATGTTGCATCTGACCGTTCTTCTTTCCCACCTGCCATGGAGATGTAAACAGTTGCCTTCTGGAGGCCTTGCCGTAACCTGGCACTTCCTGAAGTGTGCACCCCTCTGCCCCCACTCCTGACATGCCTCCAAAAGAGAAAAGAAAACAAGTTTCGTTTATGACCAGCCATGTTTGGGAGGCACAAGTTAAACAAAATTAAATTGATGTACTTGTTGCAGGATTTGTTGGAATTTTAAAATGCGAATGTAGCTTGTGACTCTCCAAGGTCAGATGTAGAGTACAACCTTTCCCAAATTTATGAGGCAAGAAACCCTTCCTCCCCACCCCAGGGGTAAACATCTGTCCACATCACCTCGGCACTGCTGCCTCAAGAACAGGGAGGACAAGAGAATCGAAAGTCAAAGGGGGGTCAGATATTCAGATATTGGGGAAAAATTAAGAAACTGCATTCAGTATCCACAAATTCCAGCTCATCTTTAAACCAATAGTCATTGGGACGTTGGAGCCTCAGATTTCTCGTCTGTAAAATACAAAGGATAGAACTGGATTATCCCTAAGCTCTTTTCATCTTTATAAGCTGGTGACTGTTTATATTCTACCTCGTTCCAGAGGGACTTTAAAAATCAGAAACAATACACAATGCATCACTGTAGAGTAAGTTACAAATAAAAAAACAGTTTCCATCAAGTTGCCTCCAACTCATAGCAACC